ACGATCCTCCTGATCATATCATCATACATCAATGCATATATGTGTAGATATATTACACCAACACCATATAAATCAATCAGATAGTAAATAAATTCATACTATAACACCATATATAACCACATCCCAACACCCGGGAACACACGATCCTACTGATCACTACATACATATACGTTAACCAAGTGTTCACCAACAATATCAAGGAAAACGAGTACCATCACCAAGTAAACAAGTTCATACTTTATCACCAAGATATAAACACGTCCCACCACTCGGGAATACACGATCCTACTGATCACTACACCATGCTCCGCATGATTCATACACCAACTAATTATCCATTTAAATAATTAGTAACGGAAATCACATACTATCACCGAGTACTCACTCTATAACACTCAATCATCTCCCCTATAAACAACAAAGTGCAAGGGCACTACACTCTTAGCGCACACAGTATAACAGCATAGAAAAACCCCATTCTGCTACGCTTGCTACACCCTCGCTAGACGAGCTCCCAGCGAATGCTCGCTACCTGTTCGCTTAGCGAACCTCCTCGCGAAGGCAAACAGAACCTACTGGACTCACTCGCTACCTCACTCGCTAGGCGAGCACCTAGCGAACGCTCGCTGCCTTCTCGCTAAGCGAAGTGCTAGCGAGTTGCCTGCGACTTCTCAAGTTCTCACAGTTCAGAATTCTCACTCTTCTCTGATTCAAGCCTATTCTATAACATCCACTTCCTATACTATCCGTATTACGACCAATGCATATTAGGCTTATCAATCTTCCTATAATTCTACTCCAGATCAACATTACGGCACACTACCGGCACTTTAGAGTTACTCTGAACCTTACTCAAACCAAACCAACACCAACAGTCAATCAACAATGGCAACATCAAACATCCGTACATCATCATATACATATTGTTCCAAAGTCATCACTTAAACAATCTATCGACACATCAAAAAGGTCACACAGAACTTCCCTAAAACCGTAAACTCAACCTATACGCCAAATTAACCAAAAACAACAATTCACCAACACTCAACATATTTCAATCCATCAACATCAACATAACTCAACAATCAATAGCATGTCAATATAAAACTTCATCAACGATACATTCCTACGGGGTTAAGGAATCCCCACTACCCTATACATGTATATACCATTCCCAATCAAGTTTCTCCCCCCTTACCTTGTTAATCGGTTGATCGATGAAATTCTTCCTGGATTTGGTCTCTTGGCCTCCTCTTTTCTTTCCGTTCTTCGTTCCCTTTTTCCTTCGTTCTTCTCACTTCTCTCGTTCTTTCCTCTTCTCTCTTTCTATCGCTCTTTCTCTCTTCCCTCTTTCTATCGTGTTATTTTCTCTAATACTTCCCCCACCCCTTCATATTCTATTTTCCTTTTTATTTCCTATCCCAATAATAATAATAACTAATAAAAATAATATAATAATAATAATAATAATAACTAATAAAAATAACATAATAATAATAATAATAATAATAATAATAATAATAATAATAATATTATTATTATTATTATTATTATTATTATTATTATTATTATTATTATTATCACACCAATTTCCCACGATCTATGGTAATCCCTTTTCTCTCTATTCCAACTTTTCTAATATCTCCTTGCTACCCCTTCATATTTCCTTCCTCACGGTTTCTATCATGACTTTTCATATTTCCATTCTAACTTCCCAATAACCCTTCCACCTCTTATTTTACTTATTTCAACCACTAATATTCCCAATAATAATTCTAATATAATAATTATAATAATCATTATAATAATAATAATAATAATAATATAATATAATACTATTATAATATTATAGTAATATTCAACATAATAATAATAATAGTAATACACCCAACAATAATTATAATTATAATAATAATAATACTAATGATAATAATAACAATTATATTAATACTAATAATAAAATAATATGAATAATAATAATCTTAATATTAATAATACTAATATAATATTACTAATATTAATAATACTAATCATAATAATACTATTAATAATAATAATAATAATATTATTATTATTATCTCACCAAAATAATAATAATAATAATAATAGTAATAATATTATTATCTCACCAAAATAATAATAATATTAATAATACTAATAAATATAATAATATATAATAATAATACCCCCACCAATATTACTATTATTCATTATATTATCATATTCACACCAAAAATCATAATAATATAATAACTATATTAATAATAATATTATATTCTCCATATTAATAATATTACTACAAATATTAATAATACTCATAAATATAATAATAATAATAATAATAATAATAATATTAATACCACCACCAATATTACTATTATTTCTTATATTATTATAAACTCACCAAATTACCACCAATGATCCTCCCATCTCAGGGACACCCACCAAACATCATCAAATACACCCTACCAAAGGGCACATCAACATATAATATTTAAAATAATAATAAAATGACTAAATAATTAAAATGGATGTTACATTAGGCCTATGTTGCTTGCATTAGAAAGGATTCGTTTATTAACGTGACAAAGTCTACCATGCCAAATATTAAAGTCACACACAGAGTAAACAGAAGGAGAAATTTTATTCAATTCAACATTCAACTTAAACATGCCATCAGTGGCGTACCCTTTTCCAACAAAAATACCATTCTTAGTGATGGTGTACAAATCTGCCCCTAAAGTTTGACTAAACCCAACCTTATTCAAAAGAAAACCAGAAACAAGATTCTTCCTAATTTCAGGAACATGCATGACGTCCTTCAAGATCAAAGTCTTTCCTGAAGTGAACTTCAGCTCAACATCTCCAATTCCAGCAATATTAGTGGTGTGAGCGTCTCCCAACAACACTTTCTTATCTTCAGTATTCATGTATGTCTTGAACATAACACGATCATAGCAGACATGACGAGTGGCGCCAGTGTCTATCCACCAACCATCACTTCCACCAACCATGTTGATTTCAGTGATCATGGCAATGAGTTGCTCATCAGTCAGGTTGACCTGAGCATTTGAGCCAGCTGCAGGTTTAGGCCTGCTCCTACATTTCTTTGCCATATGGCCCGGTTTCCCACAGTTGTAGCAAGAAAAAACCGGAGCATCATTTCTTTGAGGTGGTGGCTGTTGCTTAGCAAATGGAGCCGATGGGGCCCTAGAGGGATTCCCATTCTTAGTTCGGTTCATAGCATTGCGGTTCTGATTCTTTAAAGGTTTGCCCGTAGGCTTCAGAACCGCACCGAATTTCTTTTTGTTGTTAGACACAACTAAGACTTCTTCTTTCTGATCTTGTTTCCGAGCCTCCTCTTCAATTCGGAGGCGAGTTATCAGACTCTCGATTGAAAATTCTTTTATTTTGTGACGAAGCACATTTTTGAAATCTTTCCAACCAGGGGGCAGTTTGTCAATAATTACAGCAATTTGAAATTGTTCATTGAGGGGCATACCTTCTGTAATGATCTCATGAGCAATATTCTGAATTTCGTGGCTTTGAGCTTCCCCCGACTTCTCATCCACCATCTTGTAGTTCAAGTAGCGGCTGGCAGCAAATTTCTTCGCACCTGCTTCTTCAGTATCATATTTTCTTTGCAGAGCCTCCCAAACCTGTTTAGCAGTCCTATAGCTACTGTAGTAGTCGTACAGATCATCAGCAAGGCTGTTCAGAATGTGATTTTTGCACAGATAATCATTCTCGTGCCATAAGGCGATTTCTATTCGGAGATGTAGATCATCTGCTGCAGCCTTAGCTTTTGCAGCATCTGAGTCAGACATTTTGGAAGTCCCGTCTGAATCTGCAAGTGAGTTACCGTTAGGTAGTTCAGATGATGCAGAAGGGACAACCGGGATATCCTCAGTCAGAACGTGGGCAACCTTTTTCAGAGTTAAGAAAAATTTCATCTTAGCTTGCCAACGTTTGAAATTGGAACCCTCAAACCTGAAAGGTTTGTCAGAGACCGCAGCGGCCGCAGTAGTACCGATAATTTCCTCAGTTGCCATGGCAGTTATGAAAACGTCTTAAAATTGTTGTTTTCTAATTTGAAAATTTGAGTTTGGCACAAGGAAATTATCGGGACGAGTCGCGTACTAGGTCGCTTTCTTTAAGACGTTTCGCCGTACTGCCAAATTATGCAAAGCAGTCGAATTACGACGACGCCTCCAGGATAAAACAACCCGTTCAAATTACGATTATCAGTTTCACACTGATAAATCGCTCTAGAAATACACCTGTCTAAGTATCTGGTACAAACGACCAGTCAAGAAAAGAAAGCTTTTGAGATGAAGAGAAATAAGGAAGAGAAGAGGGAAATCAAAATTCGTGTGAATTTGTGAAATCCGATGTGCTCACTTCTGAAATTCTACCCTGTATTTATAGGCAGCAAACTGCACCTGAGTGGGGAGAAATTTGTGGTGAGTGGAGAAAATGGTGGGAGACTGAGAAATTCGTGGGGAGTGGAGAAAATGGTGGGAGACTGAGAAATTCGTGGAGGACTGGATCTGGCAGTTACTGACCAATTATTTTCTTAATTAATTAATATTTATTATTAATTAATTTTCCACCGAATTATATTAATTAATTAATGATAATTAAATTATATAAATTCGGGTCCAAAAAATAATTCATCTAGACCGGATCGAGCCGAACCGGCCGGCCGTCGGCGGCGGCGCGCGCGCGTGTGTTTGGTCATGGGTGTGTCCTCACTCCTTTCACAAAATTGGGTGCCCTTTAGGGCCCAACCCAATAGACAAAGTTGGAATATATAAACAGTACTAATATTTCCATTCCCTTCAATGTGGGACTAAAATGAATCTTTTCAAATTCACTTCTATATTAGTTCTCACTTGTGTTCATTTATTGCTCATTAATTGTCAACAAATGTTTCCAATTCCCACTCTAAGTAATTAAAGTTCCACCATTAATTAATTAAAGTTCCAACAGTTTCTGATATGTATAGGGTGAAAGGAACTCTTTTTGGTGCTGATTTTATTGTTGTAAGAAGTTGCATGGAGATTGAAGGTAAGGCTCTAGAATCGATTGAAAATCAATCCAAGAAAAAAGTGATTCCAGTTGGATTATTGCCACCTTCACTAGAATTCAGTGAAGAGAAAAAGGATGAAAATTGGGATACAATCCTTAAGTGGTTGGATAAACAGGAAAAACAGTCAGTGGTATATGTTGCATTCGGAAGTGAGGTGACATTAAGTGATGATGAATTTACTGAGATAGCTAAAGGATTGGAATTATCTAACTTTCCCTTTCTTTGGATTGTGAAGAACCATGATAAAAATGATTTGCTTGTTGAGAATGATTCAAATAAGAATGGATTGATTTGGAATAATTGGGCACCACAGTTGAGAATCTTATCACATGAGTCAATTGGAGGATTCTTGACACATTGCGGTTGGAGTTCAGTGATTGAGAGTCTTCAAGTTGGGTGTCCACTTATTATGTTACCTTTCCATAATGAACAAGGTTTAGTTGCTAGACTTATGGAAGAAAAGATGGTTGGGGTAAAGGTAGAGAGAAATGATGAGAAATTCAGTAGGGATTCAGTGGCTAAAGCATTGAGATTGGTGATGGTAGAGGCAGAGGGAAAGAGTTATAGAAGTAAAGCTGAAGAGATGAGGAAGATAGTAGGAGACAAGGAGCTGCACCAAAAATATACTGATAAATTTGTTGATTATGTGGAGCTCAATATCCCTGCTTCTAAGCATTAATGTTTAGGGTATTATAATTATATAGTAACAAAGATTTTTGTGTTAGGTGTTTGTCTTTCTAATGGAGGCAGCAGTATTCAAGATAGCAATTGAGTGAGGTGTGTTACTTTGTTACATGTGTTGGTTAATTGTGTCTGAAGCAAGTAATTAATTGTATTGTAATATATGAAACGTCATGTTATGAACTCAAATTGATTGAAAACCCGAATGTATAGTATTGTTAGCAATTCTTTCATATCTACTCTAAAACTTAAGAAAAAAAGGGAAAAAGTAAATCAAGAGCAAGATAGTAATTGATGTTACTTTTCATTTGTATTTGCTCTATGGGTACAAGTACACTAGCGTTTGAGATGTGGATAGATAACCATTTAATATTAATCAATCCATTTTTATGGTTATGATTTATAAACCAAACCACTTGTTCTAAACCGATTTAAAACTGGTTTTAAATGAATTTTGATTTTAACCCAAATTATTTAGATAAATTTAAATTTAATTTTTTTTTAATTATATCAATTTTTAAATTTAAATACTTAGATTTTAATATATTTTTTCTTTGAAAATAAATATAATATAAATTTTTTAAAAATTAAAAAAAAAAAAAATTTTAAATCTAAAAATTGAAAATAAAAAGTTTCAGCAAATTATATGGACTTAAAATGATAATTATTATTTATAATACATATATTTGTATATTTCAAAACCTCTATCTATTGCTGGAGAAATCTATAATATTTATAACTATTTTTTCATAAAACTTTAATGAACTTCGAGATTTATAAATGAAAACTAGAGTCAAATCCAACAAGTCAAGTTTTGGTATATTTTCTTGTGCATGCCAAATCAAACTCGATGCACTAAGACCGATATAATTAATTACTGAAAGTTCATATCATTAACTGATAAAAGTCCATATAATTTGTGAAGTATTAGTACACCATTTTAGATAGTTAGAGAATTTGTAAACAATTTGTTTTTTTTTCATTTTGAAATACAAAATTTTGAATCTTTTGATTTAAAATATAAAATTAGTTTATAACGTGTATATGATAAAACATGAAAATAGACAAAAACATATTAATTTAACAAATAATGAAATTTGGATAATCAATAACTAAACCACATGGAAACCGGTTTATATTTAGATAATAAAATAGATAACCAAATTTATATTTTAGCATTTGGTCTGAATTTTTAAAAGTGGAACAATTTGGATACAAATTTGGTTAACAATAACCGGTTTTTTTACACACCCCTAACTAGCGCAAGTATCCAATAGTACCTCACACTAGCACTGGACACCGGTCGGCTTGGTTTGGATTCAGACCCAATATGTTAAACCGGCCAAAACCATGGGTGAATTTGGTAGGCCCAATTTCGCCTAAACTTTTGATCGGTTTGACCGAATTCAGTTTAATTGGTTAAAATGAATCAATTTGTTCGGTTAACTGGTCTTTAATTTTGTCATACAAAATTTCAGCTACATTATCATTTTTCAAAAAATAAAATGACATTAAATAAAAACTTTGGGCATTCAAATATAACAAATGACCCAATATTTATACAAATTTAAAGCTTCAAATATTTTACAATAAACTCATTACATGAATTATGAACACCTATGTTCATATTTGTACTTCAAACTACTTTTCCTACACGCTCAAAAGTTCTTCAAATCTGTTCCGGTCTGGGCCTGACCTCGGCAGGCCCAGTACCGCGTACGGCCCAATAAGCGAATCGGGCACGCCGGGCACGCGTGTCCCGCAGGACGAGTAGAGCACGCCACCGGACACAAGCAGCGCGTCCAACAACATCACGTCGTCCCCTCTTATCAGCCGAACAGGACACACCTCGGCGCATCAAAGCGCGGCCTTGGTTCCTCCCCGACCTAGCGAGCTCCCCTCCGCGGGGAGAACAACGTGCCGGGCGCACGTTCTCCACGTGCACCCCCCCCCCCCCCCCCCCCCCCGCGGGGACACGTCATCAGCCAACTGCCCACCTCCGAAAGAGCAGGTCAAACCTACTTTTCGGAGATCTAGGAGCGGTTGGACTAGGGCGAAGACCACATCCTGGTCTTCACTACGCCACATAAGCCCTAGCAGTCATTAGGGTTGGCCCTGGTCATCCAGCCCATCTCAAATGACCGTTGGCCCAGCGCTGGGGTCTCTCTATAAATACCATCTTCCTCAAGAGGGTCAAGTAATTCACTTCTTGCCCAATTTCTATACTTTGCTCTCGCTCTGCCCAATTCCTTACTTTGGCATCGGAGTGTTTTGCAGGTATACCCCCTCTTTTTGCTCCTCAGCACCGGTGAGCACGTAGCAGTCCAATAGAGTGTGGCCGGCCCGTGATCCCCTTCTGATCAGGTCAGATCAGTGGCGCCGTCTGTGGGAGCGGAAACTTCCCCGTTACTCCGAGCAGAAAACCAAAGTTTCACCAACACTCCACGATCATGGCTAGCCCACACCGCGACGGCACTCCGCACGACCTCGCGCTCAACGTCGCCACCAACGGAAACAAGCAGATGGAAATGACGCGTCCGACGGAAACCGATGAGAGGGACGGCCAAACTGCCTCGCCTTCATTCGCAGAGCGACCCCTCCAGGCCGACCATCGGTCCCCAGGTCCGCCAACATTCCAACCCGTTCCCATTCCGGCAGGAGAAGACCCGACGGTGGCCGCCCTCTTCGCAACCATCAACCAGACGAACCAGCTGCTGGCCCAGAAAAACGCGAGAATCGGAGCGTTGGAACGCGTCGACCCTCCGAGGTACCCCCCGCGGGAAGACCAGAACGGAGGTTCGAGGAGTCCCTCACCTCGACCCAGAAATCGCCGGCCACGGCTGGAGAGGCACCGCACACAAGTAGCGCGAGAACGCACCAGGTCCCCAGCAAGACAAGTTCGTGTCGCTACTGCGAAAATCGGCGCCGGCTGACAGAAGAGTCGCCACCGTGCGTTATTTATCCCAACGGAGGGAAAGGAAACGCTCGAAGTAAACCTCGCAAAAAAACGGGAAAGGTATGGTCATCGCAACCAAAACCTGGGTTCGGGAGTCGGTTACGCAAGGGGAAGGTATTAGCACCCCTCACGTCCGTCGTACTCGACGGGATCCACGCTTGCTTGGTTTGTCTAAAGGATGCAAAAACAATCTATCTACGGCTGCTAAATCTAAACGGAAGGGATTTGACTCGATAGAGCGTCGCACTCTATGCCTACGTATTCTCAAGAGAGAAAGTCAGAGTCAACGTAGTTCGGGACTACGGGGAAATTGGCTCGCCAAGACCTCGCGTCTTGTGCCTACGTACTTCCACACAGCATGGAAGATCAGAGCTTACGTAGTTCAGGCTAACTACGGCTAATCTGAGTGTTCTCACACAGCAGTGAGAAATCCAACTAGTTTTACAGGTACGGGAACCTATGTGAAAAACTACGGTCTAGTCTCAAATGCACCCGGGCAAGAGAAAAGAGACAATCAGTCGTCAGCGGGAAAGTCTCGATCGCACAGCAGCGAGAGAGCAAAAGGTTAATTGTTAGTGTGCTCGCTAGGATATCGCATCCTATGCCTACATATTCTCGTCTGGTACGAGAAATCAGAGCAGCTGTAGTTCGGCTACTTTCGGGACCACAACTCAAATCTCGTTTTATTAATCTTCTGAAAAATGGTTACAATGATTGAATACTGAAAAATAAACCCCTAGGAAATACTATCCTATCCTATGAAGAATCAAATGGAAAATAGTCCCCTAACAAGTGGACTTCTAAACCTACCTCTAAAAAGGTAAAAAGTCCCCTAACAAATGGACTTCTAAAACTATCCCTAAAATAAACTCCATGAAGAAAATATACTCTAAAAAATATTAAATCTACACTAATATTTTTTACTATTTTTCCCTCTATTCTTTTTTTCAACTATTTTCTTCTTTTTTCTATTTTTTCAAATATTTCTTTTCCATATATTTTTTCTATATTTTTTCTATTTCTTTTTTCTATTCTTTTTCTTCAAATCTCTTTTTCTCAAAATATTTTTTCATACTCATAAAACTATACAAAAGAAAATAAAATAAAAAAGAAAATATAAAGGGAGGGGGATACAGCAGTACAAGGGATGTGTTGTTAGTAACAAAAAATAAAACAGAAATAACATGTGCCCATCCCAAATAGCACTGAAACGGGGAGGGGGTGCATCAAGTGAACCGGGGGTGCAGAACAGCAATGCTGTTGGGCCCAGCCCATTGTTCAGCAAAAGAAACAAAAAAAGAAAAACCAGAAATGGAGGGTGTGGCAAAACAGGGGGTTTGTACGGATCAGAAAATGACTGGGCCTGGCCCAATCCACACCCGGTCCATCTCCCTTCTCCTTTCTCAGAAAACCCTAATTCTTCTTCTCCTTCTCCCCTTTCACTGTTCACGCCGTTTCCACGAATTCCCCCTCTCGTTTCCTCCTCCGTCTCCATTATTGTTCAATCTCCTTAATCCAACAACATCAACAACCTTAATCCTCTTTCTTCATTCTAACCAAGTGCAGTTCTCACAAAAACGAAAACAAAGACGAATCGCTCCATCACTTGGTGAGGTCAGGTGAATCTTGAAGCTACGAAGGTCTATGGTCTTGATGGAAGATTTCTGGACAGTTGATGAACTCGCGAAGATGATTGTTCTTGACCTGGAGAACTGAGTTTCTGAGGAGGATCTTTGTGGATCTGGAGTGCGATGATGTTCTGGAAAACTGGAGAGGACCTTCAAGGAGATGATGAACGTGCAAGAACATTGATGATCCTGAAGATTTCTTGAAGATTGATGATGATCAAATTAAGATCTTGGAGGAAGTTTCTGGAGATCGATGACGAAGTCGGAAGGTTGTTTGATTGTAGATTTAGAAGTGATGGTGATGATTTGCGGTAGATCTGGATCTGAAACTTGTAGATCGGAGTTCTTGGATGGAAAACAAACAATGTAGATCCATGAGTTGCATGCTCGGTTTGAAGATTATTAAACACAGAT